CAATAGCATCAAATACCGCCTAGAAAATGACAAACTGAGATAACCATTAATTTGCCACCTTTAATCACATAAAATAGATTTATCTAAAAACAAACCAGAAAATTATATGCAGTAAATAAGTGCTCAATATGTCAATTTTACCCTCAGGGAAGAAAATTTAAAAAGGATTAGAGAGAAAATAGAGAAGCAGAAGAGGAGGAAGAGATTAGAAGCAAAGATTGAAGACAAAGGGGGATCTTGAAAGCTGGGAAACTGGTGCAGAAGACAGGAGGGAAAGAAAGAAGAAAGAAATAAAAGAACAGAACAACCACAAAGAAGCTAGAAACCACATTCACATTCATATAAAAACAAGATCAAACGGTGGACAAAAAAAACAAGGAGACAGAAAGAAAAGAAAGAAAAATTCCACTTCCAGTTTTGTCTCTGCTGTCACGGGTAGACAATGTGTGAAGACAGACTCCAGATCTGTGTTATTTATGCCAGGAATCCAGTAGTACTGGATAATCTCAGTAAGACTGTACCTTCATGTCCCCTGAAGTTCCAGCTGGATTCTGGCCATGAAGCTGAGACCTGACCCATTCAGCCTCCAGCCCTCAGCATACCCTCTGAAGGCTTGAACTCACCTGGGAGCCTTTAGATGGACCCAGCCATTAGGCTGAGTTCTGAGCTCAGTAGGCTCCTCTCCAAGATGGCTGCCAGCCAATTTCTCTCTCCCATAGGACAACCAATCCCTCAGCACTCACCCTTAGCTAGTGCAGGCCTTTGCATCAACTGCTCGCTTCCACTGCCCCATCTCTCTGTGGAAGCCTCTGGTCACTGTGTGTCTGCAGGTTTGAACCACTCCTCCCATGCAATGAGAAGGCTTCGCCAGCTACCTCCTTCCTCTCCGCTGAAGTTTCTCTCTTCACTTTGCCCGTGGGCTTCAATTCTTGCTTCAGATCCTTCCTGGGTCCAAGAGACCCAATTCTCTCCTTGTCTGTCTCATGTTGCTATATTCCAGTGTCTGGATATTAACTCTTAGAGGGGCTCTTTCTCTGCTGCTTACTATGTTGCCATCTTCCCAGAAGTTCCTACTTTTGGAAGAAGAATGGAGACTATTGTCATGGAAACATGAAGGGAAGACTGGGGTAGCAGGCAAAGTTCTGTTTGTTGTGGTTTTGTACTTCATTTTACAATGAAGAAGCCTTTTTCTTTTTAAGGATCAACTGGGTTTAGCATTATTGGCAAAAAATTTTCAATACAGCAAAACAAGTTAGACTGTCATGAGATAAGCAACAAAAGGGAAGTTAGAAATAGCAACAATTAATGTTGACAATGGCTTCTAGAAGCGTGGCTGAGAATGGAAAGAGAAAAGAGGCTTTTTTTTTTCAGACAGGGTCTCACTGTGTGGTTCAGGCTGGCCTTGAACTTACCATGTAGCCCCCACTGGCCTGGAACACATGGTGATCCTTCTGCCTCAGCCACCTAAGGGCTGTGATTACAAGGATACACCACCACACCCAGCTAAAAGACCCAACTTTAACATTTCAATTCCTGTGTCTACTCTTTTATGTGAATCTAGATGTACATAAGATATTTGGCTTGAAAATACAATTTTAGGAGTCACCACCTCAATGACAGTAAGTGAAGCCATGAAAACAGAATTTTTAAAATAAAAATAAAAATAGAATTTTTAAAAAACTAAAGAAAGAATTATGGATAGGCATGGTGGCACACACTTGTAACCCCAGCTATCAGGAGGCTGAGGCAGGAGTATTGGCTCGAGTTCAAGGCCCACTTGGGCTACACAGTGAGTTGAAGACCTGCCTGAACTATAGAGTGAGACCCTGAAAGAAAGAGAGAGAGAGAAGGAGAAGGAGAAGGAGAAGGAGAAGGAGAAGGAG